TATTAGTTATTTCTCCCGCGTTCTTCTCGACGTGCAGGATGCGTGGGCACTCGCGGCCGCCATGCGCTCGGACGGCAAGCTTGAGAGCAGGATGGAGAAGCACTATGATGAGTTAACCGTGCGTGTTTCGCATTCTTCGCACCCTCTATTACCTTTCTTTCCGTCCCTTTCGTTTTTGGGCACGTTTTCTGTGTTGTTTTCTCTCCCATCGGTTCGCTTTATTTTCTATAGCAGACTCAAGACTCCGACGACGAGGCCGATGTCGCCACGAACCTACACCAGACTTCCGCGTTGACCCCGCCCGGCGCGAGTTCCGCAGTAGTCTTGATCTGCGCGAAGTTCCCAACCATAATCAGAAGCACAAACCCAAGGCGGAAGCGCGCGCGAACCAGCGCGAAGTCCATGCGACGTGACACGACGGAGATGGTGGCTGGTACGCTCCCTCACTACCTTCTAATTAACTCGGCGTCGATGCGATGAGAGGAAGGAGTTGATACCCTGTTTTGAAGCTGGCATTTATTTATGGACATCGGAACCGTGGGAGTGAAATGGCAGAGAAACGGAAAACCATACGATTTTTGGAGTGACATAATTATGAAATCCCGTTTATTCTGTCTGTCTTGGCTAGCTATGTACAATTCGCTTACGCATCTGCCCTGTGTAGTTGCAAATCCATGACCCCTGTATCCTCCAGGTTTATTATTGCTGCCGTTGGGTCCGATCAACGAGGTGCGGATAATTCATCATTGTGAGATGTCTACTATGGGTTACACCGGGATTGAAAGTTGAGGTTTCTGATGTCGTGCAGAACTCGTATTTATATTGTGCGAACATTCTTGACGGCGCCAAAGAGGGTTGGGGGGGGGGATATATTATACTCACGCGGTCCAAGTGCCTGAATTACGAGGGGTTGAAAAGGAAACTACTGAACAGGATATTTTAAGTGATATAATCTGACAGATTCTGCTTCGAGCACTTAGAATCTCTTGATTTGTTTTTTTGCGCGATATATGTGCCAGGATAGGTTCGGGAAAAACAAAGAAATCCGATCAAACCCGAGCTCAAGAACGCATCTCAAACTCCGATCCATTTTAAGTCCCGGTGCAACCCATTCAGTTCTGACGTGGCGGTGCCTCGGAACCGACGGTTTTGAAACCGTCGGATCCCTTTGGGTGCACCGCCACCTTCCCGCGATGGGTGGATTCGGCCGATAACGCCAGGGGCAGGGCACCATCGCTCACTATCCATATGGGCCTGGGGCCCGCGTGAACTCTAATGGATTTACAGCTGTTTCCGAAAACCTTGAGACTGATCAATTTTTTTTGCTCGGGCTCGGATCAACCGCCATTTTCGGATATGGCTTTCCCTCAACAATTTCGTTCCACCAAATAGAGCAGCTCACAGGCGTGAAAGTCACAGCGCCTGTCTGTGAGTCTGAAAGCTTCAAGTTCCCCAATTCGGAACTGTGATTTGGTGCCTGTATGAATTTCTTTTCAAAAACTTGAGTGCCGGCAGTTCGGCTTGGTAAGTCCAAAAACGATAATCCTTAGCATTGGATCAAATTTTGACATGGGCAAAATTTTCTCAAGGTTTTCGGAAACAGCTGTAATAAATAAATAAATAAATAATAAATCCATGTTTTGACTCATACTTCCTCTTCGGAGGTGATGTATGTCACTACCTACCTACCTACCTCAATGTGCGGCTGTTTCACTGTCCTTGCATCGCACTGAGTGGTAACCCGATTTGCCGCCAGCTTGCGGTCAGTGTGAAATTATAATTATGGGCTCAAGGTGGCAGCACACATATACCTGTGATGGTATGTTTCCGGGATTCTCATCGCCACTGATATCGGGAGCGGGAGCCACAATTTATCTAGGCCTTAAAAGAAGTGTAGCGTTGACTGCTCTCGCTCAACAACCAACCATCTCTCTCATACACAGCGCATTCACGTTCACCTCTTCCTACACTCATTATGTGCCGTTGGCGCCAGTGAGTCCTCCTTCCACTCTTATTCTCCGTCAGGAATGGTCACACAGACATGCGACAATCCAGTGTGCGAAACCTGTACCTGAGATGCGGACACGCTGAGAATCTTGTGAGTAATTTCATCCATTTTAATTTTGGGGCTGACATGCCTGTATTCCCAGCCACCAGTTGAAGTACTTCCTTGAATCCCACTCACCGTTCTCTACAGTTCTAATGTGCAATAACCCAGGTTCAATGTGGCAGTAGCCGATGCAAGTTCAGCCTCAACCATCCCAGTAATTGCAGGCCACCGGTGTGCACCAGGACTTGCAATCAGTAGTGCGTGGCCGTTCGCTCCATTCTTTTAAATATCTAATGCTGAGGCGCGCCACAGTCATCTATTCCCTGAGCAATACAGTATGCGTGCTTCTTTTACATTCAGCCAAATGACTGTGCTGACTCCGCAACAGCTCCCAATATCAATGGCTTCTGTTCGGCCTGCACCCGCGAAATGGCCCGACGTCGTTAGGCATGTATTTCCCATAAACGTTGTAGTAGACTGAGTGATTAGAGAACTTGAAGCCAGACAATAGATGCGTATTTAATAATTAGGAAAAATTGAAGTAAACACAATCACCACAACGTACTCGCACTTGTCCATGTATACGGGGCGGTATCTCTTCTGCAAAAATAAATTGAATCGCGGGGTGGGCCTCCCTGCCTTTCTCGTATTATTTAAGCGGTTAATATACATTAACGAATCAGGTATGGCTTCCAGTGGGATTGACACTGGGCACGGGGATGGCGAGCGGAAGTCCGCACTGCAGTACGTGCATACGGGGCAGAATATCTCTAGGCTAAGACTCTAGCAGATTTTGAGCATCCAACACAGGCTCGTTGATCCAGAATGGTGAAAAGGAAATGAATCACGGGCTCTGAATCGCTGGACGAACTTAACGAAAGTATATTTTGTTTTTGTAGAAGCTCACTATGGAAGGAAGGAAGATTACACGGGAAGGAAGAAAATGAGAGAAGAAGGCACACGGGTGCAATACAGGGATTTCGCCCGATGCGTCTCTCACGTGCCGCCCCACCTCTGCGTCACCAAATCACCACACTCAGGTCGCTCGCGCATCCAGCACCGGCTTTACATGATATCGGAGGCGGATCTCATACGCGTCTCGGGTCTCTGGTTTGACGATTGTGGTCTTATCCTATGCGCTGGCAATCAGGGATATCGTGTTGCCGCATTGCATTCACCAGTATTCAAAGCCATGCTTGACTTTCGTCCTCCTCCGGACAGTGAAACGATCGACGGTTGTCCTGTTGTGCGACTGCCCGACCCACCGACCGCGATGACTCATTTTTTTGATGTCCCTAGTCACTGTCATTTCAAGTGTGTCTTCGGGTCCCCGCCTTCTCCTAAAAAATTGGGCTGATTCCCCCGCAGATTTTTCCAGCCATATCCGTTAAATATGCCTCTTCTGGTAGTGTTGGATGTACTCAGGCTCAGCCACAAGTATCAGGTCGATACGCTTTTCAAGCGAGCCCTGCTTCACCTATCTGAGGCAGTCTCCACCTCGTTGGATAGTTACCGCAAGCGCCGTGGCACAAAACGCCTCATCTCACCCAAGGCCTCCATTGAAGTGGTCAAAGTCGCCCGCGAGGTCTCTGCCGATTGGGTCCTTCCCTTCGCGCTGTATTTCCTATGCGGATACATGGCTGCCATCGATTTTAAACGGTATGAGGACGTAATGCCTAAATTGGGGAAACAGACAAACATATCTGCGTGCGTGCCTTGCGGTCATTGGACGTGGCATACGGGGAGGTGGTGGATTCCCTTTGGGAGCCATTCCCTATTCCGGGGTGTACGAGACGCGACCAATGCCTGGCGCACCGGATTGAACTGCGTCGTCAAGCAGATGGGCGGCGGCAGCAGGGTGAGCTGCCTTTCGAGGCCTGGCCAGAGACATGTTGGAAGGACCTCAGCTGTTGTTCGAATTGTGAGCGCGCCCAGAAATTGGCACATACCGCAGCCGAACTGGTAGTTTGGGACAAACTGCCCGCCTTATTCCCCCTCCCGGATTAGCCCACACTGGAGAAAATGAAGGCCGAAGCCCTTTCTGGTCAACAGGTCTGTCGCGGCCATTCAAGGAACGATCTGCTAATTTTTGACAGTTCATGTCGTACTTCACCACTCTCATTGTATCTTGGTCCCATCCTATGGTGAACGTTCCGAGGCGCTAGTCGCCGTTGCTGTATGTGTCTCCTAGTGCTGGTACTTGCTGTTTTTTTCTTCTCATGTGTATATAAATAGCTGCTGTACTACATACAACCCATCGGGACTTGTGAATACAAATAACCGCCCCAGGTAACACATCTATGCAGCTAAGACTTTGGCGCACAGGCGCTGGAACCCGACGCACACCCTGCGCATTCCTGCGTTTCTCCCATCTTTCAAGCTGTTCATAAACGTGTGCGATTTATCGGAGCAACATATCAGTCTGCCGGGACTGACAGGAAAATAAAATGTGCCTACCAAGCAGCGTACGTCCCTTGGCTCGAATATTGATTACTGAGAAAAAAAATGTAAGAGCAGTCGGCAGCGATGAGATGGGAAGGGATGATATTTGAAAAAAAAGTTCCACAACTATCATGCCATGGCAAGATCCCGACTCGAACGGGGACCTTCGGCTTTAACCATATTCTGCGACCTAAGCCGACGCGCACCTTGCGCCTTCCTGCCTTTCTGCCGTCATTTACCCTGTTAATATATGTGTGTGATTTATTGAGTCGTTTTGGGTGGACAATATTAATGAATAATGAGATGGGGAAAAAAGAATGTGCAGTTAATATATGTGCTCATGGATTTATTGAATCAAAGTATTAGTCCTACCGGACTGACAGGAAAATAAAATGCCCCAGCCAAGCAGTGGACGTCCCCTCGGCTCGAATATCGCTCACTGAGAGGGAATATTGTATAGGAACAAAGGTGATACCACCTCGAAAAAAAAAGACCTATGCAGATGTTCTGGCAGGACCCCGAGTCGAACGGGGACCTTCGGTCCATTTTCGTGCAATCTTTTCACTTTATCAAAAGCCGACACGCACCCTGCGCCTTCCTGCCTTTCACCCATCCTTTGTGCAGTAATATATGTGCTCATGGATTTATTGAATCAGCATATCAGTCCAGCCGGGTCTGACAGGAAAATAAAGTGTGCCGATAAAGCACGCAGACACTGGCTACCCATGTCTCATTGGTTGGAATACATTTCAAAGGGGAAGAATATTGTATTATGGAAACAGAGGTAAGAGGACATGATACGTCCTCGAAAGAAAAGAAAAAAAAAACTACTTTTGGCCTTGTATTTATGGCAGGACCCCGAGTCGAACGGGGACCTTCGGTTCATTTTCTTGCAGATATTATTCCCACACATCAAAAGCCGACGCGCACCCTGCGCCTTCCTGCCTTTCACCCACCCTTTGTGCAGCTAATATATGTGCTCATGGATTTATTGAATCAGCATATCAGTCCTACCGGGCTGACAGGAAGATAAAGTGTACCGATAAAGCACACAATGACTGGCTGGCTACCCATGTCTCATCGGTTGGAATATCTTTCACAGAGGAAGAATATTGTATGGAAACGAAGGTGAGAAGACTTGAAAAAAAAAAAAAAAAATTCACCATGACTGGTTCATGGCAGGACCTCGAGTCGAACGGGGACCCTCGGCTTGAAAGACATAGTTGTCACTGTACTATAAGAAACCGATCGCCATCCTCCCGTTTTCATCAACTCTAGAAGTTGGGTATGTGTGTATGTGCGTGAGTGAGGAAGATGGGACTATGCGCGCACGACAATTAAAATTGGTTAATTAAATACCACGCTTCTGCGAGGGGTCGCTTTCGATTTAGATGGATACATCATCTGATGTTGAATTTGTCTTAGAATACGCTCCGATGGCAGAGTGGTCTGTATCTGCATCAACTACTGACACTTGAAAGGTCTATACAGAAGTTGCTGGTTTGACTCCAGCTCGGGGCAGTGGGTTGTGTGCCGCGACAACCGGGGCCCATAACCTATCCCTTTTTCTCCCCTTCTTACTTATTCTGAAGTCGGCCGATTGAATCTGCAAAAATACAAAATAATGATCATTTTATTGTGACTTTTCACCTTTTCCACACCGGCACTGATGCGATTTGGGTCCATTTCGAGCTTTGTATACCTGAATATTGCTCTGAATGCCTGTTCTTACCCCATTTTCTATTTTTTTTTTTGAGGACATTTAGTATGCGGCAGGTGCACTACGCGTTCCTGTTGTGCCTACCTGCCTCGCTGTCGCCCGAGCTCTGTATGCGGGCTGCCATCGGATCGCCAACGAATTACTACGCATACTATAGCTCATCCTTTCCTACCTACTAAGATGTTGCTAGGATGTCGCCTTAGGCTGTCTTCCCGGCTTGCCTGTGAGGAAAGCCGCGACTATCCTCCGGAGTCCAACACGAGATCACGGCCGACCTCGCCACACGAAACCGCACCCCACGGGTGTCCCAATGTGACTTGTTCTCATCCGCCGCAGCGCGCGCGTGTCTCGGACTCGTCGCGGATCGGAGGACGACATACTGCAGATCCTAGCGCCTTTCGCTGCCACATCTCACCCACGCACCTCATAATCGCGCTCACCTCATTTGTTTCTGCAGGCAAACGTTGGACCGCAGATGTGGACTATGACTGCTCTTGCCGAACTTGGCATGTGGGCCATTGCTTCGCATGGCAATACGAGTCCGGTTCCAGGTATACAATTAAGAGCAAAGCCTTTATTGCGCCATACAGCTATCGTATTAATCTCTTGGCCATCAACTCAGATCAGTTGTTCTTCCCACAAGTAAAGACTTCCACGCACGAATTCACTGTCCGTCAATCCTCTCATACAGAGAAATCCTCGCTCCCTTCAGATTCCCAAATGAACGCGTGAACAACTCCTGATATAAATAATTGGTCTCACTTATTCTGTGATTTGTGTTTTTGCTTCTTTATAGTTCCTTGGATCTACTGTGGTGAGTTAGCGCGTCTCTGAGCTCGTCTTTGGTGTTATGGAGGAGTCCAGGGGCAATAGTGTATTTGGGCGCATGTGCACTTAGATAATCGCTGGGAACCGGTGTTCCTAAGCGGGCCCGTGCCGTGTAATACTACCTACCTACCTACCTACCTACCTATGTCAAAAACGCAGAATCGGAAGAGAAAGGAAACCTTACTCTGTTGGGAGGATCACATATGCTCCACCACACCTTCGGGATGGGGCTTCAAGTTGCTATTGATTGCAGAGCTACGAATCTAGGCGAGGTCTAGACCAGTCTCACTTGTTTGAGGGATACATATTCTACATAGCATGTGCTCGCTATTGTTCTGTCTAATCACATCGTATCAACAGACTGGAAGTGGCCGAGTGAAAAATGAATGATTGACTCTGTTATATATTCAATTCCCCTTCAATTACTTGAGGGAATTTTAGATACGACACCATCCAGACGTCCGCCAAGGAAATAGTATCGTCCATATTGTACAAACTATTAGGGCCATTCAGCTTTATCCACCCATCGATTTTCCCCGCCATTGTAGTGCGGAGATGAGACGATAGCTGTGGAAGCCGAGAATGAAAGCGAGGTACTGATAGAACATCAAAAGCCTGCCTTGGCATGATTTCGACACCTGAAGCCCGGAGTCCTAACGCGTCAGTGAAGGCAAATTATGAGAGATGAACACAGAAAACATTCCAAATGGGAGCCATTCGGTCTCATTTGAATCTACGAGAAATAGGCAGTGAGGATAGAATAGAAAGTCGATATACCTTGAATTGTGCGACTAGAGATGTGTAGTCACACTGAAAGTAAAATCTCATGAGGAGCGGCTGATATATTTCAGAGATATTGCTTACTGGGTTAAACGGCTAGTCCGTCCGTGATGTATCTTGGTTTGAAGGACAAGATATCCTGAAGATATAATCATATTAGGACAGCGCGTATAGATTAGATGAATGCTTACCCGTTTCAACCACCAGTCAGTCAGTCACCGAGTTGCGACTATCTGCAACGTGATTTGCGCGTGGCAGAGGATTTTTGACATCTGAGTTGACGTGACTCAGTAGATATGAATCAGAACGGTGAATCAGAATACACACTTGCTGTAAACTCGTTGTTCATGTTGTGGACCACGTAAGTATAATATAGCCCGCCCCCCCTCCCTCCACATACTTGGATGCAAGCTCACAGGCTCGATATTTTGAAGGCAGGCAAAGTAACAGCCTGGAGGAAAAATAAAATAAAGTCAGTCACTGGATCGAAATTCAGACAATGGAATACAAGCCTTGCATGTGAGATCAAAGTTCCATATTTGAAGGCGTGAAAATGGAAAAATAAGGTCAGTCATTGGATAAAACTTCAAAGAATGAATAAGAATACATACCATGCATGCAAGATCATAGTTTCGAGGCGGGAAAACTAGCGGCCACTTGAATTGTTGAATCTAATGATGAAAAACGAAGTCAGCCACTAAATAAAAGTTAGGACGATGAATCAGAATACATACCTTGCAAGTTAGATCATAGGTTCGAGATTTGAAGGCGTGCAAATTAACGGCCGCTTGAATCATAAAATCCAAAGCAGAAAAATGAATCAGTCACTAACACGAAGGAAAATGAATGCATACGAGTAGACCTTCCGCAAATACAACGACATCGAAGCCAGAGAGTGCATCCTGAAATGCAGGAAATCACATGAGGTGCTGAAGACCTGAAAGCAAAAAGTCACGGACTTGCGCCGAGTGTTAAATGCCTTAACTGGATGCCATATGATTTCATTAATACGGTGTGCAGGGGTGAAAAAGGAAGTTTCCACACACACACCTGGAGGTGCGATTAGGTTCGCGGTTGAGAGTCAATACAAGAGACTAGAAAGAAGTTGCATTAGGCGAACAGCGCGCAACGATTGGAATTTAAATAACCCTTACCTCGCCGGTTAGTTGGTGTTGTGGTCTAGAAAAATAATGTTGCATCAGAGGTTCATTTTGAGCGTTGAAGGACTTGAACAAGGGCTTCAAGAAATTGCATGAGGATGGTGTGCAAAATGAGGCATCAACTTAGTGAGCTGACGGCCGGCAGTTGGGACTTGGAACTAATCTGGGAAGAAAATTGCATCAGGACCGGTCACCGCGTATGGGATGATTATTTTTAAACGAATACCTGATTTCATTTGGGCGGAGGCAAATGGTGGCTACAGTAGAGTTTCATTATTAGTATGGCGCATATAAGAGATGTTGCTCACAGGTCATTCACTCAATTTAAATGGCCAACCGCCAGTCCCGCACTATCAAATGAAGGATTCTGAGTCAAGAGGCATATGTGAGAATAATATGAAAATTGCTCACAGGTGATCGGATGAGTACGCCGTGAGTCCGCATGGCAGGGCGTTGAAAAACGGAGGGATTACGCGGCGTAGTAGGGTCTCGGGTGGCGGGGTACGGCCTTGGACGGCTATGATATGTGAAATTGGTGCGTAATGGTGGCGAGTGCAGATCGCGACGCAGCGAGGCTTGAGGGAGCCTGAAGGGTGGCTCCGGCGCTTGCAGTGCCGATTCCAGGGTGTGGGACTGCGACAATGAGGGCAGGAGACAAAGCGGAGGGTGGGCAGCTGACTGTTTGGGCATTGTTTCACCCCGGACCGCAACACCGAGGCAATTTTCGACGCAGAATCCTGCATTATAATTGTTTCACTTGAATAGGAATATTACTGACCTGCTGGGATATTGCTTATCTGGTGTAATCAGTGACTCCGCAGTGTGCTGAGCCAGCTGATGAAACAAGGTAGGCTGGTCAAAAAATCACATTAGTAAGGCGGGCAAGGGTCAGAGGTTTCATGCTTGCCTGGTTTTAAACGACAGCTAGAACTCAGTTGCATCGCGGCTGAGAATGAAGTTGTATTAGGACGGCTTTCAGAGCTGGAAGATTGATAATTACCTATTTCAAAGCCAGTCAATCCGCGCGGTGTAACACAGTTGTGGGGCAAAGTGAGCTGAAAATGAATGAGTCAGTTGATGAAACAGGTAGGTTGGTCAAAAAATCACATTAGTAAGGCGGGCAAGGGTCGAAGGCTTCATGCTTACCTGGTTTAAACGACAGCTAGAACTCAGTTGCATCGTGGCTGGAAATGAAGTTGTATTAGGACGACTTTCAGAGCTGGAAGGTTAATACTTACCTAGTTTCGAGGCCAGTCAATCCACACGGTGTAACACAGCTGTGGGGCAAAGTGAGCTGAAAATGAATTCCCATCAGGATTTGATCAGGATGGCGTGTATGGGGTAGGTTTACATACACCTGTTTGAACAGGCAACTGCACTGTCAATGCATTTTATCTGATGATATGTTGCAGTGTGCGGATACAATGGAGATTATATGGATCAGGATTCCAACTGAAT